TCACATCCCCTATCATGCACCAGCCTCCGGGAAAATCGAACGATGCAATGGACTGTTAAAGACTACGCTGAGAGCAATGGGTGGTGGGACATTCAACCATTGGGACACACATTTAGCAGAAGCCACTCGTCTAGTTAACACTAAAGGATCTGCCAGTCGACCTGGCCCTGCCCCATCAAATCCCCTGCGCATTGTGGAAGGAGATAAGATCCCCATAGTACATATAAGGAACTTGTTGGGAGTTATTCCTTCCTCAGGAAAAGATAAACATATTCGTGGGATTGTTTTTGCTCAGGTTGCACTTGGTGGGTAATGCAGAAGGATGGGGGAGTCCAATGTGTACCTCAAGGTGATTTAATCCTGGGTGAAAACTATCCATGATTTGAGTTGCATGTTAGGTGAATTATTGTAGCAAGAACACCTTGCTGCTAGCCAGGTTAGGAGCAAGGGCAGGAGTTCATTGCAATGTTAAACCCTAGAACCTGGCCCAAAGGGACCAGGGGTGGAGATTGTAATGGAAATACCTTTAAATTGTTGTAAAACATGATTTGAGTTGCATGTTATAGGAATTACTATAGCGGGAACCACCTGAACCAATGGACGGCAAGCCTTACAAGAAGCAGTGCAACTGCAGCAGTGACCCGACCTGAGCTGCCTTTGGTGCCCACTAACTCCACACAACACACCACCTCTCCTGTCCTGAGTGACCACCCTAACAGACAGAGCGCAAAGTCTTGGAATAAATGAACTCAGTGGACATTTTGTGGGCATTTATGGACATTTTAAAGACATTTCACGGAGGTGGACCATAGACTAGGGGAATGATATCTGTGTATTGTATCAAAGGATGGGAAGGGAGGTGGTGGTTAATGAGGATGTATTGGATAGTGTGGGACCTGAGCATGACATAAATGGTATGGAATAAGGCGTTGAGAATGTGCTGGTTTTGGCTGGGATAGAGTTAACTTCCTTCATAATAGCTAGTATGGGGCTATGTTTTGGATTTGTGCTGAAAATGGTGTTGATAATACAGGGATGTTTTCGTTAACGCTGAGCAGTGCTTACACAGAGTCAAGGCTTTTTCTGCTCCTCATACTGTCCCACCAGCAAGTAGGCTGGGGGTGCACAAGAAGTTGGGAGGGGACACAGCTGAGACAGCTGACCCCAACTGACCAAAGGGATATTCCATACCATATGACGTCATGCTCAGCAATAAAACTAGGGGGAAGGTTGGCCAGGGGGCCGCTGGTCGTGGACTGGCTGGGCATCGGTCAGTTGGTGGAGAGCAATTGTTTTCATTTGCATCACTTGTCTTTCTTGGGTTTTATTTATCTCTCTTCTTTATTTTCCTATTCATTACAATTTATTATTATTATTATTATTATTTTATTTCAATTATTAAACTGTCCTTATCTCAACCCATGAGTTTTCTCACTTTTACTCTTCCAATTCTCTTCCCCCCCATCCTGCTCACGTGGGGAGTGAACGAGCAGCTGTGTGGTGCTCAGTTGCCAGCTGGGGTTAAACCACGACACAGCTGCTGCAGCCTACCTGGATTTCCAAAAAAGGATCCAACAAGGTGCTTCATCAAAAGCTCTTGGGACTTAGAGAACATTTACTCATGAATTAAAGACAGGATAAAGATAGGAAACACCGCATAGGATTAATTTGATCCCTGGAAGAAGGTCTACATGCATGCATGCTGGGACTGTGCTGCTCAAAATTTTAGAAAATTGCAAGGTGACAGTGTTTCCTGTGAGTATTACATTATTTAAGGATAGTAAAGATAAGCATCAGCTATGAACTGTAGAAGGAAAGCACGAGACATAGTGACTGGATGTTAAAATGGTAGATAAGATTCAGTGAAGATAAATGTAAAGAGCTGCACAAGAGAAAACAAAAATACTAATGGACCAGTACCTCACAGGAATGAGTTCAAGCATTATAGTAGATGTTTCTATGCCCAGTACTCAGTAACTATCAGAAAAATAGTGTTTAAAAGTATTAAGAAGAAAACAGAGAGCATCATTTTGCCACTGAATAGACTGTACCCTCTTTCTTCCCATAGAAGAATTAGGAGTCATCAAATAAAACTAGTGATTGGCTGGGTCAAAACAAACAAGGTAACGTAGCTGAGCTATGAAACTTTTTACCACAAAATTTTCAAAAAGTTAATGAAAGACAAAATGATCAAGGGCTATTAAAAAAATTATATCCCTGACACAGAATTTTAGGCACTGAGCCACAAATTCTTGGACGTCAGGAGAGTATTCTGGGGCAGTAATACTGTAGGTTCTCTCTACTGCTGTATTTGTTGTCCTGGAGAAGAGAAGACTTAGGACAGACCTAATAGCAGTCTTCCAATACCTAAGAAGAGGCTACTGAGAAGATGGAGGTTGGACTAGAGATCTTCTGATGTCCCCTCCAACCTGAATGATTTTGTAATTCTATGATTCATTAAGTTTCGGCACTGCTGGAGACAGGCTGCTAGGCTAGCTGGGCTTTGGTCCAAACCAGTATACCAATTCTCATCTTATACACATGTATGCATTAGAAGACATTGTTAGAAACTCAAGGTCAAACTCAAGCTCAGTAGCAATTCACCATCTCTGCAAGCTGAATGATGTCATGTGTCACTTATATATGCAGCTTCAAGAAATAAAACTGGCTTTCTGAGTTTTACCTTCATGC